TTTGCCAACACCGGCCACTTCAAGGTCAGTGGGGCAGGTGGGGAGCTGAGTCCTCCCCCCTGCATCCCCCAGCCCTGTTGGGGTGCTCCCCCTTGGCTGCACCCCTATCCCGCGGGATGCTGTCACCTTCTTCCCCTCACCAAATCTGCCCAGCGGGCTCTGACCTCTTCCCCCTCCCTGACACCCCAGGGCAACGTGGTGGCCATCAAGCACATCAACAAGAAGCGCATCGAGCTTACACGGCAGGTGCTCTTCGAGCTGAAACACGTAGGTTTGGGGTCTGAGCTGGGGTGGGCACCACCTGCTTGGGGGCACAGGGGCCAGTCATGGCAGTAGAGGGGGCTGGTGGGAGCAGCCGTGTGTCTCCCCCCACAACGTCAGTGCCATCTTCCACCTCCAGATGCGGGACATTCAGTTCAACCACCTGACCCGCTTCATTGGGGCATGCATCGACCCCCCCAACATCTGCATCGTCACCGAGTACTGCCCGCGGGGCAGCCTACAGGTAGGGGGGACTTGGGGGTACCAGGGGTGACACTTAGACACACCAGGCAATAGAGCTGGGCTGGGTGTCGAGGATAGGGTTGTAGATGCTGGTGGCCACCCAAGCCCCACGAGACTCACAGTAGAGCTGCCCAAGCAGGTGTCAGAGGCCAGTGGAGGGGAAGGGGTGGGTGCCATGGAGCCTCCTGCAGCTGGGTGCTCCATGAGTCTGGTGCCAGTGCCACCACTCCCTGGGTGCTTGGTGGGGTCCACTCAATGTGCTGCCTCAGGATGTCTTGGAGAATGAGAGCATCAACCTGGACTGGATGTTTCGCTACTCCCTCATCAACGACATCGTCAAGGTACCCAAATGAGGTGCACGAGGGGCTGGGGGGTGGGTGTGCCTGAGGGATACCAGCTTCACCATGTCCATCTCTCTCAGGGAATGGCCTTCCTGCACAACAGCATCATCGGCCACCACGGCAGCCTCAAGTCATCCAACTGCGTGGTGGACAGCCGCTTTGTGCTGAAGATCACCGATTATGGGCTGGCCAGCTTCCGCTCATCCTGCGATGGCGAGGACACCCATGCCCTCTATGCCAGTGAGTGCCCACTGCTGGGGACTGGGGGTCCAGGGGGATGGAGTGGCCCTGCCTCACCACCCCATGGCCATGTCCCACCAGAGAAGCTATGGACAGCTCCAGAGCTGCTGCAGAAAGGGCGCCTGCCCACCCCGGGCATGCAGAAAGCCGATGTCTACAGCTTTGGCATCATCGTGCAGGAGGTCGCCCTGCGCAACGGCCCCTTCTACATCGAGGGCATGGACCTGAGCCCCAAAGGTGAGGGTAGGGGGACAGGTGTGGGGTGGTGCCCTCCCTGCTAGGGAGGTCTGGTGCTCACCGTTGGCCACCCCCTGGCAGAGATCGTGCAGAAGGTGCGTAACAGCCAGAAGCCCTTCTTCCGCCCCTCCATCGACATCGGGGTGCACAGCGAGGAGCTGGCGGTGCTGATGGAGCGCTGCTGGGCGCAGGAGCCGGCCGAGCGCCCCGACTTCAGCCAGATCAAGATCTTCATCCGTAGATTCAATAAGTGAGTGGCTGGCCAGTGAGGAAGGTGGCCCTGGGCGGGAGCGGGGACAGCCATGGGGGGTGGTGGTTTTTGGGGGGCACCTCTTCTCGCGGTGCCAGCTGCCTGCACCCTGGCAGGGAGGGCAGCACCAGCATCCTGGACAACCTGCTGTCACGCATGGAGCAGTACGCCAACAACCTGGAGAAGCTGGTGGAGGAGCGGACACAGGCCTACCTGGAGGAGAAGCGGAAGGCGGAGAACCTCCTCTACCAGATTCTGCCCCAGTGAGAGGGGGATAGACGGGAGCATGTGGGTCTGGGGGTTGGCATGGGGTCAGCGTGCACCTGCTGCCGTGCAAGCATGGGGGTCTGTGGGTGGCTCTCCGTGCTGGTGCAGGGCAAGGGACATGGAGGTGGGGGGGATGAGGGGTTTGGGGTGGGAGGCCACCCCCATCCCCCTGTGTGCTCCCCAGCTCTGTGGCAGAGCAGCTGAAGCGTGGGGAGACGGTGCGGGCCGAGGCTTTCGACAGCGTCACCATCTACTTCAGCGACATCGTGGGCTTCACTGCGCTCTCGGCAGAGAGCACCCCCATGCAGGTGAGAGCAGGGCTTGGGGGGCAGCCCCCCTGTGGCACTGATGTGGGGTGAGGGGTTATACCCTGGCAGTGGCATCCCTGGGGCTGGAGGGGACACGCATCATCCCAGCCCCACACGCACCCTCGCTACATCCAGGTGGTGACGCTGCTGAACGACCTCTACACTTGCTTTGATGCCATCATTGACAACTTTGACGTCTATAAGGTGAGGAGGGTGTGTGAGCAGGCACAACCTTCTGAAGTGGGGTGGGTGACCATCTACTTCAGCGACATCGTGGGCTTCACTGCGCTCTCGGCAGAGAGCACCCCCATGCAGGTGAGAGCAGGGCTTGGGGGGCAGCCCCCCTGGGGGACTGATGTGGGGTGAGGGGTTACACCCTGGCAGTGGCATCCCTGGGGCTGGAGGGGACATGCATCATCCCAGCCCCACACGCACCCTCGCTACATCCAGGTGGTGACGCTGCTGAACGACCTCTACACTTGCTTTGATGCCATCATTGACAACTTTGACGTCTATAAGGTGAGGAGGGTGTGTGAGCAGGCACAACCTTCTGAAGTGGGGTGGGTGAAGCGAGGAGCCTGGGGTTGTACCCACTCCCCCTGATCCCGCAGGTGGAGACTATTAGGGATGCCTACATGGTGGTGTCGGGGCTGCCGGTGCGCAACGGGAAGCTGCACGCCCGTGAGATCGTCCGCATGGCCCTGGCCCTGCTTGAGGCCGTCAAAACCTTCAAGATCCGGCACCGGCCGAATGACCAGCTGCACCTGCGCATGAAGCGAGGAGCCTGGGGTTGTACCCACTCCCCCTGATCCCGCAGGTGGAGACTATTGGGGATGCCTACATGGTGGTGTCGGGGCTGCCGGTGCGCAACGGGAAGCTGCACGCCCGTGAGATCGTCCGCATGGCCCTGGCCCTGCTTGAGGCCGTCAAAACCTTCAAGATCCGGCACCGGCCGAATGACCAGCTGCACCTGCGCATCGGCATACACACGGGTGAGCCCCCGGCACCGCGGCTCGGGGATGCTCTGCTGCCCGTCCTACAGCAGCCCCGGGCATCTCTGTGCCTGCAGGTCCCGTGTGCGCCGGAGTGGTGGGTCTGAAGATGCCGCGGTACTGCCTGTTCGGGGACACGGTGAACACCGCGTCCCGCATGGAGTCCAACGGCCAGGGTGAGCCATGGGGCTGGCAGCTGGGGTCTGGCCCCACGGGTCGTGTGTCCCGCTCCTGAACCCAACCGTGTCCCTTTTGCCCCTCTGTGCCACCCAGCCCTGAAGATCCACGTCTCGTCCACCACAAAGGAAGTGCTGGATGAGTTTGGCTGCTTCGAGCTGGAGTTGCGTGGGGATGTGGAGATGAAGGTGAGGGCATGGGGACTTCGGTGGGATGCC